GAATCCGTGAAATGCTTATGCTATTTAGGATCTAACGGTACAAGGTATCTCTGAAAGATTTGAAGCTTTAGGATTCGTAATTCTTTAAAATGTCGAATATTTGTAGGAATTTTAGGATCTCTAAATTCTTAAGGATTTCTACGACCACAAATATGTCTACAATTTATAAGAATCTCTGGAAATTTTAGATCCTCTGAAATCTTTGGAAATTCATAATCTTTAAAATCTGCAATATTACTAAGATTTCTAGGATTCCTAGGTTTTAAATTACCTAAAACATTTTTAGAATCATAAAATTTCTAAAATTTCCGTTTGATCGTTACAATATCTGGATTTCTTAGAATCTCTAGAATGACATCAATTGTCTCGAGAATTTGAGAAATCTCAAAAACGTTTCACTTTCTGGTATCTAGAGACATCTAGAACTGTTGAAACATGGGATCGCCGAAAACACTGAAGTTCCTGGAATCTAGGCTTTCTATTTAGAATCCGTGAAATGATTATACTATTTAGGATCTAACGGTACAAGGTATCTCTGAAAGATTTGAAGTTTTAGGATTCGTAATTCTTTAAAATGTCGAATATTTGTAGGTATTTTAGGATCTCTAAATTATTAAGGATTTGTATGACCGCAAAATGTTTATAATTTCTATAATCTCTTAAATCCTAATGTATGTATTTAGGAATCCCTAGGTTTCAATTATCTCAAATATTTTTGAAATCTCTAGATCTCTAAAATTTCTGTTCAATTGCTGGATTTTTATTAATTTTTAAAACCTATGTAACGTTTAAATATTTGAAAGTTTTGGAATCTCCATAATTCTTAGAATGTCAAAGCTTTGAATTTCAGTTATCATAGAAATCTCAAGAAATTTTAGGCTTTCTGGAATCTAAATAGAGATATTTAAAATAACTATATATTAGTCAGTGTATCTGGTACCGGTAAGGATTTGTAATGTAGAAATTTTAGGATCTCTAAAATCTAAAAAATGTGTATGATAGCAAATGGAATCGTTATTATCTGTAAATATCTCTAGTAAAGATTAGCATCCCTAGTGTTCTAGGATCCCAACAATTTCTGGAATCTTCTACATTATTTAATATTCGTGGAGCTTCTAAATATCTTGAAAGCTTAGAATTTATATGATGCTTAGAATTTCGAGGTTTTTAAGGACTCCTGAATATCAGATTCGAGAATTTCACGAATCTCAACAAGCTTTTCGCTTTCTTGTATTTGGAGCACATTTAGAGCTTTTAAAATACTAAATAATAATTACAAATCTGTGGCGTCGCAGAAAACACTCCTCATCGTCTAGTTTCTGAAGTTCTACATCCTCTGCCTTCTCGTGCCAACATTACATCACTGTAGCCGACCCGATTTTAACGAGCAACGATTTCTCGAATCGACAATCTTGCATCATACACATGCTATCAAAATCATTTAATCGTGAAAACTGTACACGTTTTCGAATTCGAAATATGTTAATGACTCTATTATGTTACATCGAAGTTACCAACAAGCATACAAAAAAGTCACCAAATTACACGAATAAACACTGACAATAGTGACAATTGACCCATCTTTCTATACTTTGTCAATATGTTTTTCATCGGACTTCAAAAGTTTGTTATTTCTGGTTTTGTAACTACTTTTTTTCGGGATTACTCCAGTTTAATTACGTCTGTTGCAATTTTTGCGTTTTCGTTGTTTTGGTATTAATAGTCGTAAAGGTATTTATTACCCTTTTGTTTGTTTCTGTTTTACACAATTCTTTGCTCCATATATTTTGCAAATAATCGTCAAGGCAGCTATCAAAGTGTTGACCGAAGTTGAAATACTAATATTCTCGGATAAAACGCACATTCTATTGTCTCTTGTGCTATGTATGTCAGCACTTTCACAAAAATTAACCTATAAGCTTGACATTTTTGACATCGCCGCACGATTTGCATTCAAGGAAGTTTTTACGCAAATTTCGTGCGCTTTTTAAAAGTTTTGTTGTGACCACCGGTAGATGGCGCCAGGAACTATAACCTCCCATAGTCTCCTGAGACACCTTTGAAAAAAGAGCATTAATACAGCTGTTAAATAATGTGGGTCACGTTGGTACTTAATTCCTAAAAATGTTCTTAAGTAAACGTTGCTTAAAGAAAAATTTCAAGTAAAAAAGAAAACCAAAATAAGCTCCGCCCCTCGGCTCACGACAAATAAGTAAATTCATCACAATCGAGATGAGGGCGGGTGGGCGGGGTTTGCATTTTACTATTTTTTTTTCTTAATATATGTACGTACTTTTCTTTTCACGACAAGAAACTGAAAACTTGTTTAAAATGGTAAATTTGTAGAGAAGTGTGGGATATAAAACTTACCATTTTAAACATGTTTTCAGTCTTTTCTTGTGCAGAATATATATATTAAGAAGAAAAAAAAGTCAAAACATAAGCCCCGCCCACCCGCCCTGTCTCAGTTGTGACGATTTTTCTTTATTCGTTGTGAGTAAGGAGGCGGAGCTTAATTACAAAATTATTATTTTTCAAAGAAAAATTACCATTTGAAACATGTTCTTAAATAAAAGTGTTGTTCAAAGAGAAGTTTTAAGTAAAAAAGAACGCCAAAATTAAGCTCCGCCCCTCGGCTCACGACAAATAAGTAAATTCATCACAATTGAGATGAGGGCGGGTGGGCGGGGTTTGTATTTTGCGTTTTATTTTCTTATGTGAGCAGTTTTCTATTCACGACAAGAAACTGAAAACTTGTTTAAAATGGTAAATTTGTAGAGAAGTGTGGGATTTAAAATTTACCATTTTAAACATGTTTTTAGTCTTTTGTTGTGAAGAATATCTATATTACGCGGAAAAAAAGTCAAATCATAAGCCCCGCCCACCCGCCCTGTCTCAGTTGTGACGATTTTTCTTTATTCGTTGTGAGTAAGGAGGCGGAGCTTAATTACAAAATCATTATTTTTCAACGAAAAATTACCATTTGAAGCATGTTCTTAAATAAACGTGTTGTTCAAAGAGAAGTTTTAAGTAAAAAAGAAAGCCAAAATTAAGTTCCGCCCCTCGGCTCACGACAAATAAGAAAATTCATCACAATTGAGAAGAGGGCGGGTGGGCGGGTTTTGTATTCTACCTTTTTTTTTCTTATATGTGCGTAGTTTTCTATTCATGACAAGAAACTAAATACCTGTTTAAAATGGTAAATTTGTATGGCAGTGTGGGAGATAAAATTTATCATTTTAAACATGTTTTCAGTCTTTTGTTGCGAAGAATATATATATTACGAAGAGAAAAAAACTAAATCATAAGCCCCGCCCACCCGCCCTGTCTCAGTTGTAACGATTTTTCTTTATTCATTGTGAATAAGAAGGCGGAGCTTAATTACAAAATTATTATTTTCCAATGTAAAATTACCATTTGAAACATGTTCTTAACTAAAAGTGTTGTTCAAAGAGAAGTTTTAAGTAAAAAAGAAAGCCAAAATTAAGCTCCGCCCCTCGGCTCACGACAAATAAGTAAATTCATCACAATTGAGATGAGGGTGGGTGGGCGGGGTTTGTATTTTGCGTTTTATTTTCTTATGTGAGCAGTTTTCTATTCACGACAAGAAACTGAAAACTTGTTTAAAATGGTAAATTTGTAGAGAAGTGTAGTAGATAAAATTTACCATTTTAAACATGTTTTCAGTCTTTTGTTGTAAAGAATATATATATTAAGAAGAAAAAAAAAGTCAAATCGTAAGCCCCGCCTACCCGCCCTGTCTCAGTTGTAACGATTTTTCTTTATTCGTTGTGAGTGAGGAGGCGGAGCTTAATTACAAAATTATTATTTTTCAACGAAAAATTACCATTTGAAACATGTTCTTAAATGAACGTGTTGTTCAAAGAGAAGTTTTAAGTAAAAAAGAAAGCCAAAATTAAGCTCCGCCCCTCGGCTCACGACAAATAAGTAAATTCATTACAATTGAGATGAGGGCGGGTGGGCAGGGTTTGTATTTTGCCATTTTTTTTTTATGTGCGTAGTTTTCTATTCACGACAAGAAACTGAAAACTTGTTTAAAATGGTAAATTTATATAGAATTGTGGGATATAAAATTTACCATTTAAACATGTTTTCAGTCTTTTGTAGTGAAGAATATGTGAATATTACGAAGAAAAAAAATCAAATCATAAGCCCCGCGCACCCACCCTCAGTTGTGACGATTTTTCTTTATTCGTTGTTAAGTAAGGAGGCGAAGCTTAATTTAATACCATTTGAAACATGTTCTTAAATAAACGTGCTGTTCAAAGAAAAGTTTTAAGAAAGCCAAAATTAAGCTCCGCCCCTCGGCTTACGACGAATAAGAAAATTCATCACAATTGAGACGAGGGCGGGCGGGTGGGGCTTGCTTCTTCAAAACTATGAAAAACTATTCCAGTATTCATTTTGCATCTAAGTAAAGAGCTTTTCCAGTAATTTTGCAAGACAAGCATAAAATACAAAACTTATTGATCTTTACCCAACAAATACAAGGTTTTGAGTTTCCGACACGTGATTCTTCTTATCTTATAAATTTTCCCAGGAATAAATACATTATTCATTTCTCTTCGCATTATGAAACGCGTTTCCAAATTACTTTTCTTGCTATCCTTCGGAAAGGAAAGGTAGTTGTATGTTCCCACAACCTTACGAGTTTTCTATTCCGTTCCAAACTGGGTAACCATATTTCCAGCAACCTTTTGTTCTTTGAATGAACCCGAAATGACACTGATGGCGATTTCTTAAAAAAAAATTTAGTGACTAGAGTCAAATGTATACGTGGTTGTGTTCAAATTCCTCGTGGTTCATCAGCATTGTGTGAATGATTCTCACAAGTAAATAAATAAGAGACTATTTTACTTACCGAGACGCTGTGACAATTATAATGTATTCATTAACCTTGTGGTGGAAACATTTGCAATCTAACAATATATATACTAACTGTATCCCGATGTTTAACTAATTCTCTTTTTCTTTTACAGCAACTTAGAGAAGTAATCCCACACATAAAAATGGAACGAAAACTGTCCAAAATCGAAACCCTAACCCTAGCCAAAAACTACATAATGGCCCTCACAAACGTCATCTGCGAGATGCGAGGGGAAGAAAAACACTACACGTAACTACCCCCTCTCAGTATTCAATTTCCTCCACTAACGTCTCTTCTTTCAGATTCCAAGACGTCGAAGAAGACAGTACAGTAGAATTAGAAACAACCGAAGAAAGCACACGAGAGCAAAACAACAACTCCATGTTCCAGCAAAATCTCGAAAATCACCAGGAGAACGCGCTGGTGAACTCCCGCTGAAGTCTGGACGTCCATAAAACCGCCATGCATTCCGTATTTAAAGTTTAAGTGATTAGATTTAAGGCATAAAACTGAAAACAGCATCAATGAAGCGAGGCCGCAGCAATTTGCTGATTGCGATCGATCACACGCTCAAATAACGATTTCAAACGGATCAGATTCCCGCCGAAATGCGCGGAAGGCTCGCCCTGGTCGGTTGCGCATTGCTGCCGTTGGCGCGCAAATTTAAATGTACTATTTATGATATGAATTTAAACATAAAGAGCTCTATTCTGTGCAATTATTCAACTTGAATGACTTTATGAATGTGCATATCTGTTACTAGATTAGGCCTACGATGGGTGGTTGTAATTTCTTGATAAAGCAAATGTGATTTTATGTGCTTCCGTGTTGTGTCGTGAATGATAGATGTATAGATAGTGTATATAAAATAATTTCTATATACAGACGTTACTAGCTACGTAAGGAAGATGCGCTACATAAAAGACACTTAAGCGGTGCAGGCGCTGCACCGCTCACTTATTTTTAAAAGTATATAGGATGTGTTAAATTATTTTATATAAATGACATAACTACCTTTGACTTATATCTTGAAGTATGTACCTTAGATATGTAAGATAAGTGTCATTGTGATTCCTCCAACTCCATCCATGCGAAGTATGGAAGCTGAGTTGTGGATTTAGAACTTCCATATCGGGACTCGAAATGACACGAACAAAGTTACCTAGAACGAGGTCGAACCTCAAAATACTCTAAAGTTATGCTCAAGAATGAATTGAACATGTGCAAATTGTTCACAGACTGTCATCCATAGCTTAGATTTGACCTTCCTCTCGAAGTGGACAGTTTGTACGGTCTGAATGGAAAGAGTATGAAGTTCCAAACGCAAATGTGATATTGTAGAAACTTGCACAAGTTTTAGTTAGAAGTTAATTAAATATACTATATATTTTATGACATGTATTAAGTGTATTCTTGTAAAAATATTACAAATCATGAGAATCACATTCAAAATATGTATAAATATCAAATAAAAATGTCAGGAATCTTGCACTTGAATGATCTCTATCAACGAACCAAGGCACTTATCCACTCATCTTGCCACCTGCTCAAACAAAAAATTACTTTTTGTCTCCACCAATTACGAACATCATACCTAAGATTCTACTTTCGTTCAACTTAAACTGCTCTCGGACGTCTTCTAAAGTCTGGTCCGCGTCCATCACCAAAACAGGAATCGAGTTGTGTTTGCCTTTAATAAGCCACTCTTCGTGACTTTGGTGCAACTGCGTTAAATAATCCAAAGAAATTCCTCTCTCCTCAGGACGTCCCCGCGCCTTTATCCTTTCAAAAACCACCTCAGGTGTACTTCTTAAATAAACTAAGATAAAATTAAGGACGATATTCTTGACATCACGTACCTATCAGATCTAAATTAATATTGATATTATTTTGTATCCATTTGTACCATTCGTCCAATACTGCGTAATCCGGCTCACTCAAGGATCCACTCTTTCGCGCCAACTCGACGAAACAATATCTGTTATTTTGGAGCGACCTTTCAAAGATTTGTACTGTGGTGTCAGGGTTTTTGGGTTTTGAAGTTTGAACTTTAAGTCGACTTAACTGAACGTAGGTTTGGAAGACTTTTAACCACTGGTTGATGTTGGAGTACATCAGTTCTAGGAGGTTGCTGCCGTTTAAGTTGCGCCAGTAGTCGATGGGTTCCTAAAGATATCAATTACTAACATTAGTATTAATAACTTAAGTGTATATGACTTAAGTATGTAAAAAGTGTCCCTCATTTCTTATTTATTTGTTTGGAGTAAAGCTTGCTTAATATTATGGGAACGAAAGTGTCAAGTGAATTTTTTAGTGAAATTTCTCAGGTCAGGTCAGGTCAGGTTGGAAACCACCTTATAGGTCATTTTACTTCTTGGGCTCCTACTCATTAAGCCTGTGGCTGATTTAACAAGAACTTCCCAGGACGGTGGCCTCCTCGGTCTCCAGATCTCAATCCTCGTGATTTTTTTGCATACCTTTCAAGAGTACCTGCATCTGATTCGTTTTTATCGGGGCTCTTTCTTTAGTTTTGTAAACACACGTTTCAATAATTGAAGCATGGCCGAATAAACACATTCAAAAAACACAACGAGAATGAATGCGCTACAACACAACAAAACTAAAAATTCGAAGTGTCCACTGTAATTTCTTTTTTTTTTTTTTTTTGATAAACAGCAAATGTCGGTGTTGGTTTTATTTATTTTTTATCATTTCGTAATAGAAACGAACGCATAATCGTACAAAAACACGATTATCGCCTTTTATGTTATCATTATTTCTATGTTTTTGTTGATGAAATTAAATGTTCTGGACATTTATCAACAAGTAACGCACAGTGCGTTAAAACTTGAAAAACAAATTTAATGATTTTGCTGTATATTAATTTTGGTCGGCAGCAATGGGTTAAACAAGAACACAATGGTATTAAAATTGAAGTTTGAACATTGGGGAAAAATAGGTGGACAAAGATTATTTCGACAGGACTTGAAAAATTATAAAAATTTTTGTTATTTTTGTTTTCTGATAAACTCTAAACCAGTGGCGTGACTAACGCTCTCTTAATTGACGAAAAAAAAAAAACTTTTGGAAAAATCGAAATATGGAGAAATTGAAAAATCTAAAAATTTTAAAATCGAAAAATTGAAAAATCAAATATTTTCAAAATCGAAAGCTCAAGCAACCGAAACATCAAAAAATCTAAAATGTAAAAAAACGAAAAACTGCAAAACCAAAAAAAATCGAGAAACTGAATAATTCCCTAAATTCTCGAAACGTTGGGAAATCGAAAAAATTGAACAAGTGAAAAATTGCAAAATCTAAAAATTTTAGAAATGAAAACTCGAAGAATTGCATGTGGTAAAATTGAAGAGACAAAAAAAATGAAAAATCGAAAAATTGCAAATCCAAAAGTAGGAGAAACGAAAAACTGAAGACATTGAAATTGAAAAAACCAACAAAATTATAAAATGGAAATTAAAAACGGAAAAATTGTCAAAATAAAGAAAATAAAAAACCGAAACGACAAATTGCAAAATCTAATAATTGAAAAATCCAAAAATTGAAAACTTTCACATCGAAAAATAAATTGGAAAAATTAAAAAAAAAAAAATAGAAAATCGAAACGAAAAATTGCAAATCGAAAAATTGAAACGTAATCGAAAATTTATCAAATTAAAAAAATCGATACATCGAAATTGGTAAATTGAAAAATCGAAAAACTGAAAAATTGAAACTTTTAAACATCGAAATATCAAAAAATTAAAATCTCGAAAAATTGAAAAATTCCCAAAATTTAAATATTCAAAACCTACTAAAATCAAAAAAATGAGAAATCAAAAAATGGAAAATTCCCAAAACTAAATTCTCGAAAAATTGGAAAATCGAAAGATCCGCACACCGAGAAATCCAAACAGGAAAAGATCGAGAAATCGAAAAATCCATACGTCAAATTATCGAGAAATTGAAAATTGAGAAATCGAAAAATTAAAAAATTTAAACTTAGACATATAAAAAAAATTCCAAAATCTAAAATTTAGGATTTGGAAAAATTGATAAATAGAAAAATCGAAGAACTGAAAAATTGAGAAATCAAAAAATCTGCATTTTAAAAAATTGAAAAATTAAAATGTCGAAAAATTGAAAAATCTAGACATTGAAAAATTCCCAAAATTTAAATGTTGAAAAAGTGAGTAATCGAAAACTTGAAAAATCAAGAAATTTAAAAATGGAAAAATTAAAACATCGGAATGTCGATAAGTCAAAATATTTTTAAAAGTCTAAAAATTTTAAAAATCGAAAAATCGAAAACTTGCAAATCCAAAAGTTGATAGTTGAAGATATTGAAATTGAAAAAACCAACAATTATAAAATGGAAACATTGATAAACTGAAAAATTGTCAAAATAAAGAAAATAAAAAACCGAAACTACAAATTGCAAACGGAAAATTTGAAGACATGAAAAAAATTAAAGGATCGAAAAACTGAAAAATAAAAATTGAAAGCGAAACGAAACGAAAAACTGCGAATTGAAAAGTTAAAAAATTAAAAATTGAAAACTCGCGAAAAATTGCAAAATCTAATAATTGAAAAATCCCAAAATTGAAAAATTTCACATTGAAAAAAAAAAATCAGAACATTGAAATATAAATGGGGAAAATGAAAAAAATAGATAATCGAAACGAAAAACCGCAAATCGAAACATTGAAATTTGAATAATCGAAAATGTTATCAAATTAAAAAAATCGATACATCGAAATTGGGAAATTGAAAAATCGAAAAACTGAAAAATTGAAATATTTAAACATGTAAATATTAAAAAATTGGAAAATTTAAAATTAAAGATTTAAAAAAAAATGATAAATAGACAAATCGAAGAACTAAAAAATTTAGAAATCGCAAAATCCAAAAATTGAACAATGGCCAAAATTTAAATGATGAAAAATTGAGAAATCGAAAACTTGAAAAATCAGGAAATCGAAAAATGGAAAAATTAAGACACTGGAATGTTAATAAATCGCAAAAGGATTTTTAAAAATCGAAAAACTAGAAATCAAAGAAACGAGAAATCAAGAAATTGAAAAATCTCGATACTGAATTGTCGAACAATTGGAAAATGGAAAAATCGAAATGCCGAAAAGTCGAAAAATTCAGGAGAAAAAAAACTGAGAAATCGAAACATGAAAAGATCGAGAAAAAATTTATAAAATTAAATACTCGATAAATCGAAAAATCGAAAAATTTATTGAAAAATGAAAAATTTAAACATCGGAATATAAAAAATTGAAAAATCTAAAATTTAAGATTCGAGAAATTTGATAAATAGAAGAATCCAACAACTGAAAAATTGGGAAATTTAAAAGTATAATTTGAAAAACTAAAAAATTAAAATCTCGAAAAATTGAAAAATTCCCAAAATTTAAATATTGAAAAAGTGAGAAATCAAAAACTTGAAAAATCAAGAAATTTAAAAATGGAAAAATTAAAACATCGGAATGTCGATCAGTCAAAACATTTTTAAAAGTCTAATAATTTTAAAAATCGAAAAATCGCGATGTCGAGAAATCGAAAAACTAAAAATAAAAATCCCAAAACTGAATTGTCGAAAAATTGGTTAGAAATATTGAAAAAACGAAACATCGAAAAATTGGAAAATCAAAATGCCGAAAAGACGAAAAATCTAAAAATTCAAGCACCGAGAGAAAAAAATCAAAACGAAAAGTCAGAAAATTGAAAATCAGAAAAACTGAACAATGGTAAATCGAAACATCGAAATCTTGATAAATCGAGAAATCGAAAAATTAAAATACCGAAAAATTCAGAAATCGAAAGACTCAAAAATCAAAAACTTTAAAACCGAAAAATCTAAAACTTAAAAAAACAAAACATTATAAATCCCAAAACTGAAACATCGAAAAATGAGAAATCAAAAAATTGAAAAATCTCAAAATAAATCGAAAAATTGAAACAGAGAGAAATCCAAATATGAAATTGGAAAATTATAGAAAACAGGAAATGGAAACGAAGAATTGAAAATCAAAAAATTGAAGTGAAAATTCAAAAATCGAAAAATTGAAAAATTAAAACTGCGAAACTGCAAATCGAAAAATTGCAAAATCGAAAAATCTTAGAAATGTAAACTCGAAAAATTGCAAATCCAAAAGTTGGAGAAACAAAAAATTGAAAATATGTACATGTTGAAAAACAATTATGAAGTGGAAACTTTGAAAAACCGAAAAATTGTCGAAATAAAGAAAATGAAAAACCGAAACGACAAATTGCAAACGGAAAATTTGAAGAAATGAAAAATTGAAGAATCGAAAAACTGAAAAATAAAATTGTGAACTCGAAAAATTTTAAGTCAAAAAATTGCAAAATCCTAAAACGAAAAATTGAGGAAATGAAAAATTGGATAATTGAAATAAACTAAGTTGAAAACTAAAATTGCATTGAAAAAGAAAAATTATAAAATCAGAACATTGAAAAACAGAAAAATTTCAAAAATAAAGAAAATAGAAAATTGAAACGAAAAACTGAAAAATTAAAAACTGAAAAAGCGAAAAATTTTAGAAGTGAAAACTCGAAAAATTGCAAATCGAAACGTTGGAGAAAGGAAAAATTGAAAAGTACTGAAATTGATAAAACAAAAAATTATAAAATAGAAACATTGAAAAAAAAAATAAAATCAGAACATTGAAAAATAAATTTGAAAAATAAAGACAATAGAAAATCGAAACGAAAAATTGCAAATCGAAAAATTCATACGTAATTGAATAATCGAAAAACTGAAAAATTGAAACATTTATTAAACATCATAATATCAAAAAATTGGAAAATTTAAAATTAAAGATTTAAAAAAATTGATAACTAGAAAAATCGAAGAACTAGAAAAGTGAGAAATCGAAAACTTAAAAAATCAGGAAATCAAAAAATGGAAAAATTAAGACACCAGAATGTTAATAAATCGTAAAATCAAAACATTTTTACAAGTCGAAAAATTTAAAAATCGAAAAACTGGAAATCAAAGAAACGAGAAATCGAGACATTGAAAAATCCCTAAAGTGAATTCTCGAAAAATTGAAAAATCTAGAAATTGAAAAAATGCCAAAATTGAAATGTCAAAAAGCTGAGAAATCGAAAACTTGAAAAATCAAAAAATCAAAAAATGGAAAAATTAAGACATCGGAATATCGAACCATGTAAAATTTAAAAAATCGAAATACTAAAAACAAAAAACCAATCATGAAATTAGAAAATTCCAAAACTGGATTCTGGAAAAATTGAAAAATCGAGAAGTCGAAAAATCGAAAAATGCATAGGTCGAAAAATCTAGAAATTTAAAAATTAAAAAAATCTATGAATCGAAAAATCAGAAAATTGAGAAATCGAAAAACTGAAAAATGGAAAAATTAAGATATCAGAATATCAATAAATCGTAAAATCAAAACCTTTTAAAAACAGAAACATTTTTAAAATCGAAAGATCGAGATGCCCAGAAAGCGAAAATTCGTTAAATCGAAAAATTAAAAAATCGAAAAATGCAAAATTTAAAAATCGAAAAACTAAAAATCAAAAAACCGAGAAATCGAGAAATTGAAAAATCCCAAAAGTAAATTCGCGAAAAATTGGAAAATCGAAAAATGTAAAAATTAAAAAATCGAAAAACTAAAAATCAAAAAAACGAGAAATCAAGAAATTGAAAAATCCCAAAACTAAATTCACGAACAATTGGAAAATCGAAATGCTGAAAAGTTGAAAAATCGAGGTATTAAAAAAAATTCATAACGAAAAATTTAAAAATTTAAACAGAAATATAAAAAAATTGCAAAATCTAAAATTTAGGATCTGGAAAAATTGATAAATAGAAAAATCGAGAAATTGAAAAATCTACATTTTAAAAAATTTTATAATCAAAATCTCCGAAAATTGAAAAATCCAGAAATTGAAAAATGGAAAAATGAAGACATCGAAAAAATTGAAAAATCGAGAAATCGAAAAATTAAAATACCGAAAAATCTAAAACTTTAAAAAACCAAAATATTGATAGATCCCAAAATTAAAACATCGAAAAACTGAGAAATCAAAAACCTGATAAATCGAAAAACTGAAAAACTTAAAAATCGAGAAATCGAAATGTCCAGAAATCGGACATCAAAAAGTTGAAAAATCGATTAATCAAGAAATCGAAAAATGTATTAATCGAGAAATCTAAAAATCGAAAACGAAAGACCAAAAATTTAATTTTAATTAAAATTTATTCACCAAAATTGTAAGATGACGATTCCTGGAGGGAGCATGGACAGATAAATTTTGATTAACAATTTACCATGTGTCCAATAACCTTAAAACGTTCGCAAGATTTCAAAGCATTCGATTTTCCAATTACAAAGTTAAATTGTAAAACTTTATACAATTTTGATTTTTTTTAATCTTGATGCCTAGGGTTAAAACTCAACACGTGGAGGAGTATGTTATTTTATAAAATTGAAATAACATTTACTATTGTAAATACGACATTTTTAACATACATACAAAATTTGACAATAATCGGTCCGGCAATTTCGGATATTATCTCTCTAATAAAAATTGCCACAGACAGCGGACAGGCAGACAAAAACGGAAGACCTATTTTTTCGTACTCTTGGGGTCATGAAACCTCGGGAAAACATGGAACTAGCTAGTCGCTCGATGGATTCGATTACAATACTTCCTTTGCTTACACTCGGGAAGTAAAAGGACCGACTATAACTAACTTATGACGATAGCAGACTCAATTTTGGAAGTGTGTGGACGTTTCAAAACGTTTTAAAATGAGATAATAAACTCAAATTCCACAAACGTTAAAATAATTGATTTATAATTTGTTTATACTGACGTGTTTCGTCATGACAACTTTGAGGTTGAAGTGATACAATTTATAACATGTTTGGAATTACTAATCTTTATGCTTCATTTGACCACCAAAATTGCATCAAATTATACTTAATTTCCATTATAAATCAATATGGTTGAAGGTCAAACCCAGACGGTAAACAATTTACGACCCATTTTTATTATTTTGCAGATTACTAAAAATCTACACAAAACAATAAAATAACATTTAAAGATTTTTGTGTTCAACAAGGGCAGAATTTAGTTATCTGTATTCTTAAGATATGTAATTACTTGCATCAACAATTAATTCTAACCTCAAAACACTGACAACGTAATTGACATTTATACAATCAAATTACCAACCCAAAACGTGAAAATGCAGCCAACTCAAATTCGTTTCATTTATTTCTTCTGACGCGCTGCACCATATCTGCAAACAATGTTGTTATGCCAATTACACTTTCATTGACGTCATAATCTACGTTAGTTTCCACAACACCACCTCCAAGATGAATATTTCACCATTATTTTTACAAAATCCAGTTTACACTCGTTTTCAACTGCATAACAATCACGAGTATATTTTGGATCAGCTGTGTAAACCACATAATAAAAACACGCCAAAATCGTGAACAAAAAACCTGTATGATTATATTTTAATAGAAACCAGTTTTGATAGACCAAATTTCCGTACGAATCCACTTACTCCATAAGTTTCTATGCCAGTGATTTTACTAAAGTACTCGACCAAAGTCGACTTTCCAGCCCCTATGTTGCCCTCGATGGACACTTTAAAAGGTCGCTTCTCCGTCGAAGGTTCCATCGTCGTGGGGATTCTTGCTCTGACGCGGAACTGAGATTCTTTCCTGGAAGAATGAACAGAAGGTCGTTTATAACGATGTGAGTGTTGTTCGCACATTATGAACTTTGAACAACGATAACAGAAACCGCGAGTCAGTTCAGGTGATGCAGTAACGATTTAGGTCATCGTGGAGTTCAGAACATAAAGAAAGTTAATAGTCTCGGACTTTCCAATTTGGTCAAAACGCAACAAACATTACCAGCGTCATAACCTAACTTTTGTGCTTTGTGTTTGGATCTTTGCTGACGCGAAATGTGGGGGTTCGGGCGAAAAGTGCAACATTTACCTGAATCTACTGGTGAGTATTCGACAGTTGTGGAAATATCGGGTGCACAAAACTGGATTTAACACAATTTTCTTCATTTCATTTCTAAACGAAACATCTTAAGCATCAATGTCAATTTGACAACTGACAGAAGAAGAGCATCGGAAATTTTTATCACAATAAAAATGACTTTTTTGTTACTTTGCTAAAAATACCATAAAAAGTGCGTATGATTATCATTACGTTATAAAAAAATTATTCTCGCGTTTAATTACAATGATGTGGTAATCTTCCATTAATCATTAACTCACCAGTGGCGTAGAGTCTGTGTAGGTCTAGGTATAAGGGTTACAAAATGTGGACAATTTCCGTTACTTATAATCTGTGGCCCCAAGTACCACACACAACATTCGTGCCCTTAGTCTATAATTTAATTCAAAATCAAATTCCACCACCTATTAGGTTTAGTTAAAAAAAACAAAACCCTGATTATACAGTTTCATTAGCATTACAAAGTTTGACAGTTTGTTGTCATGAATTATCAATTTGAATTTTAAAAATGAAAAGAAGCAACTAAAACTAACACTGACAACAGTGGCACTAAAAATATTACAAAACATTAATAAACTTTATTAAGTATGAGAAATTAAATAAGTAATATAATATACTTAAAGCTAAGTATGTATTTCAGTTAACCTATTTTCATATGTACATTATGATAATGAATAACTTGAAGTCAACATCTTCACTTAGATCTCTCCTTAATATATTATTTTTTAGCGACTGTTTCAAATCCATTATTTTTCTGTAACGCAATTAAATTTCTCGTTCTCCCCCATTTTTTTGTAGCCTTACCACTAAATAGTTGTAGATGTTTTTTTTTTAATTTTTATTTTATTCTCATCAGACCAATCAGACAGAGATTGGCAAGTTGACAGTTTAACAGTTTACAAAATAATAACGATAATGGTAAACAATTTACACACATTGTACAACACACAAATACAAGATTTGCAAATATTTATATTTAAAAAATTAAGAGAAACTAAGAGAAATTGTTTTAAACGCAGTTTATATTTTTTTGATGAATTTACAATTAATGAGGAATGAGAATTGAGCAGAAATGGGAAATGACAAATGAGAAACACGAAATCTGAAATTCGAAATAAGAAATGAGAAGCGAGCAATAAGAAATAAGAAATCACAAATACGATATGAGAACAAATGGAAAATGAGAAATGAAGCATCAGAAATAGGAAGACATGAAACTTTTGAGGTGACGTCATCAATTTTTTGGAGGGGACAAGTAAATATATTTTGAAGAGTTAGAAGAGTTATTGGTTAATTTTTAAAATTGAAGCTGCATTGTGGGCCATTGTTTTACATTGCCCCAAACAAACAACAAAACAAATTTCCACCACGTGTTAGACTCTCCCTTTTTTATTAACTACCAAACTAACTAAACTTAAGGTAGCTTACTCACCACGTGGTTTCACACACAACAAACAAACCAAAAGTGACGCCACCGGACAGAATGACTCATCTACCAAGCCAGCCAACATCTACCAACCCTGTCACTAAAATTTCCTAGCAGAAATTCGAATTCAAATTCCGTCACCACACTATATTTTTTACTTTTTTGTGGGGAGTGTTGTGGTGGATCACGCTTGAAAACTTTAAATATTAGCAAATAATAAGCGACATTCTTTGCCAACATAATAACCCGAGTCTGTAAAGTGAAATTGTTTGTTCAAAATGTTGAATTTGGTCGAGATTTTATAATTTACAAAACGTGCGGCAAAATTTAAGTGAAGAAAAAATTTTCTCGAAAAACTTCAGGTTTCTCATTTCTCATTCTCAAATCAGAAATCGGAATTAAGAATGAAAAATGTAAAAGGAGAAATACGAAAAGCGAAATGTAAAATACGAAATGAGTAATGAGAAATTAGAAATACAAAGTGAGAAATGAGAAATGAGAAGTTCGAACTGAGACGTAAGAAATGCCAAATACGAAATAGAAAATTAGGATTGTGAAATAGTGGATTAAAAAATGTGAAATAAGAAATTAAAAAGCTAAAAATATCAAATGGATGTCAACTTTGAAGTGAAAAACGCCAAGCATATTTTTTACTATTTTGCGGGGAGTGTTGTGGTGGATCGCACTTGAAAACTTTAATTATTAGCAAATAATAAATCAACATAATAACCCGAGTCTCTAAAGTGAAATTGTTTCTTCCAAATGTCGCGATTTTTTAATTTTACAAAATTACAAAATTGAAATGAAGAAAAATTTTTCTTGGAAAGCTTGAATTACATTTTATTGGTTTGTTCTTTTGCTTGCTTTCAGAAATTTTTATATCGTTGTGCTTTTTTCTGTGGATCTGAACATGTTTCTTTCACAAAGTATTTAGAAATTAAAGACCCGAAAACAATGGAAAGCACATCATTTCTCATATCTTCTCATTTCGCACTCATCATTCCTATTTTAAATTTCTCATTCTCAAATGAGAAAGAAAAAATTACAAATGTTAAAGGAACAATGAGAACTACAAAATGAGAAATAAGAAATGAGAAATGCAAAATACGAAATGAGAAATGAGAAATTAGAAATACAAAGTTCGGACTGGGAAATAAGAAATTTCAAATGCGAAATAGAAAATTAGAAATGCGAAATTAAACATGCTAGAAATGTCAAACGAATGCGAAATTTGAAATAAGAAACGACGCCAAGCACAGTTTTCACTCTTTTGTGGGGAGTGTTGTGGTGGATCCCGCTTCAAGATATTCTTTACCAATGTAATAACCCGAATCTCTAAAGTTAAATTGTTTCTTCTAGGTGTTGAATTCGGTCGTGATTTTCTAATTTTATAAAACGTGTGCCAAAATTTAAGTGAAGTAATTTTCTCCAAAGGGTTGAATTATATTGTGGTGGTTTATTCTTTTGCTTACTACCAGAAATCTTCGTATTGTGCTTTCTTCCAGTGGTTCATGACGTGTTTTTTTCATACAGAGTTCACAAAGTAAAGCACATAATTTCTGATTCCTCACATCTTATTTCGCATTCTCAAATGAGCAGTTGGAAATGAGCAATACAAAATGCGAAATGTGAAATACAAAATGGGAAATGCGAAATAACTTCGAAATAATCTCTATTAATGTTTGTGAAATTTTTGTCAGGTTGGCAACCTATCTAAAATTGTATAATGGCATACCTGATTTTCAAAATGGCGTTTGTGACAGCCGCCATCGTCTCAACCAATCAGCACGTTTGGTTGGCGTGCTCATGTCAAAATTGACAACTGTGAACTGACGTACTAGCATGGATGCCAATAATTCAGAATTGCCAACACAAAAAATTGGCTTCAATCATTAGTAACAGTTATTACTACCATATTATGTAAATTCTGCGTTATAAAGAAAAAATATGCATAAAATAGAGAAAATACGTTTCGATAATTAAATTTCATAAGATAGGAGCAAATATTATACAATTATTTAATGTACGGAAAAGAATTCTAATTTAATACCAAATTCCAATGTAGATTCTGTTGACTATGATATTGAATGATCAGCTGCTTCAAATAATAATATTCATCTCGTACATTGCTTATAAGATAATATATAGAGTTGAACTTTGATATGACGTGTAGATAATGTCCTTTTCCTAGTTTAGTGTGTTATTTGTAAGTAACTCTTCAAAGATAACCGAGTGCGGTCTAGGAATAATAATATTATCTTCAATTTTGATTGTAAGATTTAGATCAGACCAGTTTTGATATGTACGAAATCTGATAAAATGAATTTTAATCTATATTTAAATAAAGTTTGTTGCTGTGGTACCACTTTTATTTCATTTAGATTTCCTCTGCATTTATTTTCTAATTCACTAGTTTTTTTGTGTAATGTTAGCGTAACAAAAACTAATATCATTTACAAAATGGCAGACCTATTTTTTCGTATTCTAGGGCGCATGAAACAAAAAAACATGAAGGTAACGATTTTCTGGATGGACACTATTACAGTGCTTCCTTGGCTTACGCTTGGGAAGTTAAATCATTGCCAAAAATCATCTGTTTCTAATGACGCAAGTGGAAAGAGTGGGACTGTAAACATTAGATCATCAAGTTTTACTTCCGGTAACATTTCTTTCACAAGATCGTTTCATAACTGCGGTTTCAATGTCAATGCTCTAGAATGTTAATATTATTAATTAACCATGTAGGTACGTTCCTACTACTAAGACATCAAATAATATAAATTTTTAAATGCATGCTTTTATAACGTAACAGCTACCAATTAACAAATTCATTTATATTGTTTACATCTGTATGTGTTAATGGTAAAACAGTTCATTATTCCTTCATTTCCACATACAACGAAAACGATTTAATAGGAGGAACTGCTTTAAATTCGACATTGTTCTTACTTTAATTACGTATAATCCATTAGAAACAAAAAGAAAATTGCGCAAGTTATTTAGAAATTAAAATTACTTGTCTGAATGTTGCAACTGCTTGTTCTTATTTTGTGTTACCACATTTTCTATATCTTGTATCTTTTTTGTTTTTTAGGACAATTTTTGCCCGGGTGCATGGACGTGATGCTGGACTACAGCCCCGAGGGGATCTTCATGCGTTTATATTACCCCACTAGCGAGGACAAAAACGATCCAGTAAGTCCCTTTTCATGGTCCACCGCAGTCAAAATAATCTCCATTTTTAGAGTAACTGCAGTGGATGGATCCCTTGGATGCCCACAGGCAACGGCTACATCCTTGGATTAGCCAAAGTCCTATTCTTATTCCCATTTGTCATCCGCTTCATGCAGTGGTGGTCAGGTAAATTAATCCATCGTTATAAGAAAGTTTCCCCTCATTCATATGGATTTATTCTAACAGCACACGATATTCCTGTAATTTATGGAAGTAAACCAAAACTGGACAAAAAATTGAAATGCATTGTGTTGTCACATGGACTAGGGGCCCACAGAGCGCTGTACAGCAACGTTTGTTGCGAACTCGCTTCAAGAGGCTATTTGGTGGCAGCTTTAGAGCATAAAGGCGGGTCCTCATGTTACACGTACTACTACAAAAACAAAGACGATGCGGAAAATAACATTAAGGCACACGTGGAGTACGAGCAGGTCCAGTTGGGAAAGAATCATTTTGGCCAAAGGAAAAGGCAGATTGGAGTGCGGATTAAAGAGTGCAATAAGGCGTTGGACTTTCTTTTAAATCTAAATAAGGGACAAGTGCCGCACAATGTTATAGATGATGTTCCCACGGATAGGAAAATTGAATTCAAACTAGAAGATTTAGTTGGCAAATTAGACGTAGATACTTTAACTATGGCTGGGCATTCGTTTGGAGGGGCAACGGCCCTTTTGACCCTTTCACAGAGGCCGGAATTTAAGTAAGTATTTTCGTTTTCTTGTGGCCAAAGCAACAAAAACATGATTCCAGACAAGGTCTTCTGCTAGATCCATGGATGTATCCAATTAAAGATGACAATTTGCCCGAAAAGGTGCAACAACCGTTGGTTTTCATCAATACGCAAACTTTCCACATTGTTTCTAATGTTCAAGCAATGTCGAAATACTTGACTAACAACGATAGGACTATGTATACAATACTGTAGGTTTCTTTTTTGTGTGTAGGCACGATGATGATAGTTGGTTTTAGACACACCACTCACGAGCATCAAGGCGATACTGCTATGCTTTTCGGGTCGTGGATGAACTGGTTTATGAAGAAACTTGACCCACTAGTTGCTTTAAAAATTAATAATTGCTTAGTTCTAGAGTTTTTAGATAAATATGTCGGAAGCCCCAGTGACATCACAGACTGTAGAGAATTCCTTGAGCTAGAAAAACCAAGTTACGAAGTAGGCCTAACTAAACCTTGGGCATAGTTTTTGTTGTTATTTTTATTTACTATTTTTTTAATATATTTTCATATATTTTAAAACGGTGTCTAAATAAATATTCAACAAAATAAAAGGCACGTTGGATTCCTCATTCAACCTTGTCTTCTATTACAGTCGAATACTCGGCTGCAATTTGAGGTTCGTTGTTAGACGCCTCCAATAAAATCTTTGTAAGAAGCCTATCATTTTCGTCACGTAGAACTTGCACATTTTTCTCTTGATCCTAAAAACAAAAAGGCATCAACTTACAATTAAATGGTAACCAACTTACTTCAATGGTCTTCTTGTATTGATTCCTAATCTCTTCTCTAGTCGCTGTAGCATTCTGTACCCTCTCCATTGCCACCTTCGGCGGTAAGTACTTCTGATTCACTCCCAAAATCGACTGCAACTTCTCCTTCCTCTTCTGTTCGTCCTTCAACTCCTTCCTCAACATATTAGTCTCCACCAAAAGAACAGCATTCTCTTCAGTCAGCTTGACTTTATCAGCACTCAAAGTAGACGAACTCTTATTGACTTGCACTTGCAAACTGGTCACAGTCCTCTCCAAGAACTCCCTCTGCCTCATAAACTCGCTCTTCACTTCCGTATCTTCCGCCTGAGTTATCGCAAAATCTTCATCTATGTTGTACTTCAAGTACATATCCTTCACGATTTTAATCAGCGCCGGGACGTTCTGAACTTGCCCACTAGCCAAAAAGATATCGGTTTTGATTTTCTTTATCGCCCGATTCATCACATAATTCCTCGTCACTTGTTTCTTCAACTCCATATCAGAAGCGTACAATTTCTCCCTCAACTCATGCAGTTGCAAATCCAAACTTAGAATCACCCTCTGCAAATTCTCCAACTCTTTAACCATAGCATTAATCTGCTCGGTTTGTTCCTGGATCATGCGTTCACGAGGCTCAATCTGCGACTTTAACTCTTTAATCTTGAAATCGAGAATAAATTTAAACTTCTCCAGCTCCTGGTTTTTGCGTTTCAAGTCGAAGATGCGCTTCTCCTTATCCTGGATCGTTGCGTCCCTTTCGGAGATCTCTTTCTTCAAGTCGACGATGTCTTTTTCCAAGTTGATGATCGACTTCTTCAGCTTAGTGTGCTCGTTGTCCAGGTTGTACACTTTGCTTTTCAAGTCGTCTATTTCTTTCTGCGACGAAATCAACTTCTTCTTTACGATGGCTGTCTCTCCTCGGATTTTCACGTTCAAGTCTTGCTCTTCTTTGAGTTCTTTGGCATGGAATGTTCGCATTTCGTAGATCTCTCTGTCTGCATCTTCTTCGATTTGTTGCTTGATCAACTCGTGGGCTTTAGTTTTTGAAGCTGTTTGTTCAACCAACTGCAAAAAATTGTCACAAGTTGTGCTACAATCTATAGATTGTCACCTCGTCGAATTGCATTTGCTTCTCTTCCAGTTTTTCCAAGAACTCGTTCGTTATTTTTTCCTCGGATGCTTTTTTTGCAGCAGCTAGGTCGTCTAATTCTTTCTCCAAGTTGCGTCGCATTTTTTCCATTTTTTCTTCCAGTCTCAGGAATTTTTCGTATTCGTAGATTAGTTTTTCGTTGTAATTGGCTTCCAGTTCTCGTACGAATTCTTCGTGGTCTAGTTTCATCTTCTTGATGTCTAGATTTATGTTGTGGATTTCTTGGACGTGGTCGTTTTCAAGTTGCTGTAATTTTGGTTAAAGTGAGGAAAGGTGTCATAATATTCTGGATAAGTCACCTCGTTCTTTTCCTTGAGTTCTTCAATAGCCTGGCAATAACCAGAATGGATCTCTTGCATTCTTAAGCTGTTGACTACGTCGTTTTGACGTAGCTGGTACGCATATTCCGACTCAAGTTCCTTCAGTCTCATCTGTAGATTATTCGTCTGCGCTATTCGTTCTTCCAGGATTTGCCGCGATATCAATATATCTTTAGACGTTTCGAAATCCTTGTCCATTTTTATTGCTTTGCCTTCAGTGTTCAAAAGTTTCCACATCACAAGAGTTCCGTCTGCAGATCCAGTGAAGAGAAACTTATCGTCGAAAGCAATCAACATCTAGAAAAACAATAACGGTATAGATGTTAGTCACAATTTTACTTACATGTGTGACGGTATCTCCATGGACGCTGTACTCTTGATATTCAGCCTTCTCCAGAAGGGGCAACTTGACGTTGTAAATACTACCAGCATTCCCGGAGACAAACAACATCTGGTCTAACTTCGACAACACCATAGAATCCAAACCAGAGGGTGTCAGCAACACGTCCCTATTAATGTTGGCATTCATAAACTCCCTAATGTGTCCATCGTTGGCGACCACATAAATAGATCTTCCGTCTGTAGTAATGGCAACCCCGGTAAATTCACACTGTTTCATAACAACTTCCGACAACCTCTTCTGATCTGATACGCCCCATTCATAAATCGCCCCTTCGCTCCCACAAGAAGCCATTTTTCTGTCGTCGTTGGTCCACGATATGCCGTTGATCTTTCCATTGTGCCCTTTGAGGTTGTACATCATTTCGAAATTTACGGAAGAATAAACCTGGATGACGTTGCCGTTAGCAGCGGCAAACATATGACCCAACTTGCTGAAAACACACTGCTTGCAAACCCTAATGTTAAACTCTCGCGTGGTTTCAAATTCTTCGATCATGATGGTAAGGAAGCGAAGTTTGTCCGAAAAACCAACTATAGCATAGAGACCGCTGGGATGAAGATCGACTCCGTAAAGATCGTCCTGGAATGTCTGGTCCAGATCTAGCTCTTCTGATTCGTAGTTCCATATCTTGAGAGTGCGATCCAACTTACCTACAGATACACTAGTACTAGTATAAAATTTGTGTAAAATTTTACCAACCAGCGGTTAATACGATGGGTTTCCAGCTACATAGTGCCATACTACCAATGGGTCCATTGTGCAACCTCGATCCTAACTCGGTAAACATACTCTCCACGGCAACAGTTGCCGAAGAATCTTGCATCCATAACATGGCGTGGTAAACCTGGCTTACGTTACAAGTAACGATTATTCGTCCTTGTGATGGGTTGATGGCTATGCAATTAATCTTCGTCTGGTTTTCTTCTGCTTCTTCTTCGAGTTCTCGTTCGAGGATGACTTCAGGAATTTTAAAAACGTTGCGCTTGATGTACTTGTGTGGGGTTTCCATTTCGTATAAATGGACCGTTCCATTTAAATACCCAAAGGCGAATCCACGAGGGAAGTGTATCATGGATCGAATACTGTAGTCTTCTCCTGGACGGAGATCCGAAATGCTGAGATCCTTTAAGCTAGTCTGGGAAGTCTGTTGAAGCCTAAAAAGAAAAATCAGTAACTCCTCTAGAAATGAACAACCTTTGTTCGTTTTTTAGTGGCACCTACCTCGGCTTACGACTCCTAAGTTAGCACAAACGAATCATAGTCAATTATTTTGTGTGGGACTTTTCATAAAATGAGTGATAAAATTAAAACTTACTCGTCTTTGGCTTTGAGGTCTAGCATTGGCAGATCAGCGGCGTTAAACACAAACTTTAACTCTCCGCTTTCGATAATTAAGAGTCTGCCCTCGTTGGTTCCAACCATGAGTCGATCTTGGGACAACCAAATTGCTGAGGTGAAATTCCATTGATCGCCCTTGCTGTATCCATATTGCCGCCAGGAATAGTCAGTACAGGCCATGATTTTGATTAGTCCGTCACCGACGATGCATAGCAGATTGGCGTCGTTTGGGTTGCAAGCAATCTAAAACAAACGGTAAAAGTTAAAGAAAAATATGTATGTATGCAGTTTTATAAAACAAAGCTATGAATATTTTTGTTTGTTTTATATTTAAAAAAATATATATTTATTCACTTTTTCATTTATTCAATTCTTCGATTTTCATTTTTTCTTTCAGTGATACAGTTTTTCAACTTCACATTTTTGGCGATTTCAGAATTTTTCTATTTAATAATTTTTGGATTTTCCAATTTTTCAATTCTCCACTTTTGCGATTTTTCAATTTTTCAATATTTGGTTTTCCTGAGTTTACAAATTATCGCATCTTTTTAGTTTTTTTGGTTTTTCGATTTTTTCCGTTTTTTTAGTTTTTCTTATTTTAATTTCTCGATTTTTGAATCTTTCGATTTTTCAATTTCTCGAAAGGAAAAACTGCAAAATTGTAAAATTGAAAAATCAAAAATGGGAAAACTAAAAAGAATAAAATGAAAACTTTAAAAATCTAAAAATTGATAATCAAGAACTTGAAAAATTGAAAAATCGAAGATTACAAATTCAAAAACTTAAAAATCGAAAAAACGAAATATTAAAAATAAAGCAAATCGGAAAATGGGATAATTGAGAAGTTGAAAATCAAAGAATGAAAAAATAAAGGAAATGGAGAAAATTGTGATATAAAATCGATAAATGAAAAATAAAAAAAAAGAACTTGAAAAATTGGAAAAACGAAAAATTGAAAATCCAAAAAATTAAAAATTGAGATACTGAAAAAACGAAAAATAAATTCTAATATCAAACAATTACAAAATTGGAAAATTCCAAATCCATAAATTAAAGAATGAAAAATTGAAAAATTTGGTAGTTCAGAAATTGAAAAATTGAAGAATTTGAAGTTGAAAATTCGAAAAATTATGAAACCGAAACATTGACAAATGGTGAAATTGAAAAAATAAAGAAAATGAAAAAACGAAAAATTGTGAAATCAAAACATTGTAAAATCGACAAAAAAAGGGAAATATTGAGATGTCATCAATTTGTTAGAAGGGGATAAACGAATAAATTTTGATTAAGAATTTACCATGATTACGAAAACCTTTAACCGTTTTGAAGATTTCATGGCATTCAGTCTTGCAGTCTCAAAGTTAAATTGCAAAATGTTATACAATTTTGTTTTTTTTTCCAAAAATCTGGATGTCAACAGTAAAAACCCAACACGGATTCATAGACCACATGTGGAATATTATCTTGTTTTGAAATAATATTTACTAATGTAAATTTTGGAGATTTTTCAATTTTTCGTTTTTTCGTTTTGTGATTTGCAACTTTTCTAGCTTTCATTTTAAATATGTAACAATAATTATATTTTTTTTAATTTTTCACTTTTACGATTTCGGCAATCCATTTATGAATTATTAGATTTTAACACTTTTTCACTTATCCAATTTTTTGATTTTTAATTTTTCAATTTGAATTTTTACATTTCTGGATATTTAATTTTTCAAATTTTTTTGACTTCACACTTTCGGCGGTTATACAATTTTCTGATTTTATGATTTTTGGATTTTCCAAATTCTCGATACGATTCGTTTTTTTTTTCTTTCCAATGATTCGATTCACTAAATTGTAGTTTTTCAGTTTTTCAACATCTCGAATCAAAAAAAAGGAAAAATTGCAAAATAGTAACATTGAAAACTCAAAAATGAACAAACGAAAAAGTATAAAATGAAAACTTTAAAAATCTAAAAATTGAAAATCAAGAACTTGAAAAATTGAAGAAGCGAATAATTGAAAAATCGAAGATTAAAAATTGAGAAATTTCAAAATCAAAAAAACGAAATATTGAAAATTAAACAAATCGTAAAATGGGATAATTGAGAATTGCAAAAACTGCAAAATTGGAAAATCGAGGAGTTGAAAAATCAAAGATTGAAAAAATAAAGGAAATGGAGAAAACAGAAAATTGTAATATAAAATCGAGAAATTGAAAAAAGTCAAGAACTTGAAAAATTGGGGAAACGAAAAATTGAAAACCTAAAATATTAAAAATTGAGATACTGAAAAAACGAAAAATAACAAATTGTATATCAAACAATTACAAAATTGAAAAATCGAAAAAGGGGAAACGAAAAATTGTGATATTGAGATGACGTCATCAATTTTCGAGAGGGGGTTAAAGAAATAATTTTTTTTAAGATTTCAAGGCATTCAGTTTTGCAGTTTCAAAGTTAAATTGCAAAATGTTGTTATACAATTTTGATTTTTTTTTTGGACAAATCTGGATGTCTAGCGTAAAAACTGAAGACGGATTCATGAACCATATGTACGCTCAGACAGTAAAAATCATAGAACCCTATAATACCTACTAACATCTATCAATATATTAACAAAATAAAAATAAAGACATACATGTCTCACATATCCCGTATTCCCCAAATTATTCGCCTTCCCGGTACTCTCAAGCTTCCCTTTATCAGACTTGAAGGCATACAAGGTCCAGTCAGGCTCCCCCGTCACACACATAAGAAATTTCGAATCGAAAGTAAACGCCACTGCCGTGAATTTATCAGCGCAGCTCTCCTTATCAGCGGGCAAATTGATTTGCCGCTTCTTCTTATAAGTCAAAGGACACCAAAGCGTCACGAAGGGCTTCTCCCCGCTTTCCACCACAGCCACCAGCTTCCTAAAACACAAGAATTCTCTACTTTGGATCCCGAGAACTCCAACTGAGACTTTACTTGTTGGGGCTAACGACGACTTCGGTCACATTTCGGCCCTTCTCGGCGAGTCTGATGTATTTTTGCCTTTTCTGGTTGATGTTGTTGACGTTCAAAACCGCTCCCACGGGGAAGATGACGTCCTCGTCGGTGATGAATTGAGCGTTACCCTTAACATCGGTGCGCAACCCCAAAACAAGACGGGGCTGCAAAAACGGCGAAGTAGACATTTTCGACTGAGGGCGGTTTGTTGACGCGTTGCCAGGGGGAAGGGCCAGTGGCGGCGGAAAGAGTTTGGGATTTAGGGACGGAAATGGGGGACCAGTTGCTTCATATTCTAGGAGGTAGGAAATGTCGACAAAATATGAAAAAAGCTATGCGTGAAGTTTTGTTATCTCATAAAGATAAGTCACTCGAAGAAGAATTTGGAAAGCAATTTATGAATATAGAATTATGCCATTACAATTTCTCAACGAAAGTTTCGATGTTTCATAGGAATGCTCGTTAATGGTACCATAATTACCCTCTGCGTGCTTTAACATACCAGACTAGGAATAGTTAATAGTTAATAGCTCGTATTTTCTTAACCAAAAAAGAGTTCATTAAATCAATTAGTAGCAGTTTTTTCTTAATTATAAATCTATAAGTTACGCACACAAATTCGTTTGTGTTCATATAAAATACAGAAGATATTCTTAGGTAGTCAGTACGTTTATTAGTCATCAAAAATGAACGACGACCATCCAAGATTACTCAGAATAAGTTGTGTTCTATATTTAATAATTGCAATAAAGTGACTGACCGTTTTAGATGACCCTTTAAAATTTATTCAGACGCTTCTAATAAAACCTTTTAAAAGCAAGTTTATCAAAGTTTCGATATTATGGACGTTTTTAATATATGTATTGTCTCAAATAGTTTTCGTCTTTCAACTTTTACACACCGACAATATCGTTTCTTTCTTCGTTCAATATTCGCCGATATTTTTTGCAAACTTCTTGGTAAGTACAATTCAAACCGAAAATTTTGTGAACACGATTGTTCCTCCTATTCTTTCAGCAAATACAAACCATCATTGTAGTTTTTTACAACGAAAATAAGTATGACATGCTTCTTCAAACGCTGTATAACTTTGCTCTAGAATTAGACTCAGCAGGTTTCAAGTTTAGGAACAGAATTGAGTTCGAATCTAAGTGGATCAAATTTATGTGTGCCTTATCTACGTTCGCCACTACGATAATGGCACTGTTTTTTCTACCCATTATCGAAAAAGCTGAAGATATGCTCTTTGTTATGAAATTCTTTCAAGATTATCAACCTTCGTTGTTAAAATATTTCTACTTTCTTTACTACTATACTTTTATATTTTTAGTTTTCGTAACTGTGTACATGGTTTTTACTTTTACCTACTTCTTAAAACATTCAGTTTTTCAGCTTTATATTTTGAGCCACCTTATCAAAAAGATGTCTAAACATAACTCAAAGAAAAACGCCCTACACCTTTACTACGATACGACTTTTCAGAAAAGAGTGAATAGGAGACTAGTTTTTTGCATTCGTAAGCATTACGAAATTTGCACGTACGTATTAACATTAGTTATACTTTTAATTCGCAGAAAATTTTAGATTTTCGAATAAAATTTTCCAAACATTTTATGTTCCTGGATTTTTCTACATCGTCAATGTGTTTCTGGCTATGGGAAGTATTATGTTTTTTGCGTTGGCGGTAAGCGGTTAAAGTGCATATATTTTGATCTTGTTTTATCTCTCCAGAACTATACCAACACTGTGGCGTATCCTCGATTTTTCAGTATGTTTTTAGCATCCATCATAGTTTTTTCACCCATATTTACTGAGTTTCAACATATTGCAGACTGCGTAAATCTGGCTGAAACCAATATGTATATCACGCTTATTGTGAGTTCAATTTTTTAGAGTGCACATATTTTTGAAAATCTGTGTTGCTGTCCGTTCTACATCTGGAACAACAAAAATAAAAAATTATTGCTCTTTTTTCTGATGAATGCAATGACGCCGTTACAATTCTCTATTGATAGGGTGTTGTTTATAAATTATCAATTGATACCTAAGGTAATAACGCGGTAATATTTTTCTTCTTTCTTTTAATGTTTTTCTTTTCAGATTTTAAAATGGTTGTTTTCTGCACAGACCTTAATTCTCCGAGTTATAAGTTTGAGAAACAATTGATTATCCTAGCAAATCCAGCTACCTAGTTCACATGATGTCCTAATCCTTTTTCGTATTACTGAATAACCTTTTTTATTATTTAGTTCATTTATTTTTATTCGCGTTATGTCTGTACGAGTATTTAGAAATGTGTTGTAGTTTCTTATTGGGTAATAAATACCTATTTTTAAAGAAAAAAAGATAATATTTTTCTCTAAAGTCATAACAGTAATTAATAACACATCTGTTAATAGACACATTATCATTAAGTGGAATACCTTTCCAAAAAAAAAATCAAAAATTAAATCAAATGTTATAAATGGATACAAATATTTCAATATGCCACAAATTTTTAACACACTAAAAAACGAATAAGAGAAATCGTCATTAACGCAGGTCAAGTCATTACGTAGCTGTGGCGGCAAATTTAAATATGGATACAAAAACTAAAGGCTGTATCGGGAATCCAGGTCATGGATTACGGTTACAGGATGGGTGGCTTCGACCATGGCCAACTCTATTAATGAATATGGCCATCCCATTCATATTTTTTCCGGGGATCGTTTATAAATGAGGCGAATAATGCATGATTTATGTACGAAAATCGTTCAATAATAAGGGCTATTAATGCATGATTTCAGGCAACCAGATATACACCTCCTAACCTAAAATGTCATATTTCTGAATGGCAAAAATTTCCTGAATCAAGATTCAAAATGGAGAATTATGTAAAAATGGATACTTTAACGCCTCCGGAAGTAGAAAAGGCAAGTGTGGTTTCGCTAAATTTACTTCCAGAAAGAAGCAAAATGCTTTACCAAAAAACCTATGCTGAGTCTGTTGCATGGTGCGCCGAAAACCAGGTTGTAAAGTATCCGGAATCCGTATTACTTGCATCCTTCTCCGAAATTTCCCAAAAAGGTTTAATATCACGCTTGCTGCGTGTAGTATTCTAGTAAGTATTCTTTGCTTCGGTCATGATTTGGACGGATTTGGACATATCCAAATTTAATAAACTAATGTTTATTAATAAAAATGTTTCCCTGTATGTTTGGTTGCATAACTCATATTTTGATTTTTCAGTATTTTTTTTTAAACCCCTCGCCGTACTTCGAGACGAAATATTTGAATTCAAATTATAGGAGCATTTATATGTACGTTTTAACAAACAGTAAAACAAAACAAGTTGGTGAAGTTTATTTTGATAGAATTTTCGTCGCGCCTGAAGTACAAATTCAACAAATCCTGCTTTTCGAAAAATTATAAAATTTGATTTGCGATTTTTATTTTGTGATAACCTCTATAAAGTAAAAGATATAATAACACCCCCTCAGAACCTGTGCTGTGGGAGCGCCACACAAGTACTCACAATGTGAAATAAGTATATTACAATAACCAACGTTTAACAAAAATGCCCTCTCAGCATGCTTAACTTCGAGTGTTTATGCTTATACATCGAAAGAATGTCACGTTGAAATTTGTTCAACTTGAATGAGTTTGTCTCCACAAAACAGAGAACTAAAATTATGAATTAAGCCACAATTGAAAAAAATGTTATTCATATTCATTTACTTTACTGCGTGGAAGAAATTGTTACTTACTATTGTTCTTATTTTATCATTATTTTGAGACCAATTTTTCGTGGCCTAAGTGCTGTGAAATGTCAAGAAAATATGAAAATAGCTATGCGTCAAGTGGACCCTAAATTTAAGGGACTTTATTCTATTTTTGAAGTCTAGTTAAATAAAGCAGCTCATAAATGATAATCCTCAGTTGAATAAGAACTGAGAAAGTAATTTCACCTAAATATTCGCAAACACTATTAAGTATTAGCTTTTGTGAAAATTTCTTCAGAACCGTAAATAATTAATAGTTAATGTTTTCTGGATAAAAGCATTCTAACATTCTCAATCAAGTAAATGAATAAAAGTTTTGTTCTTAAGTATAAATCCATACATTACACAAAAAATATCGCCATGTTCAAATAAACTACGCCTTGGATCTTAGTCATCATCATCAACGATGGACGACGAGCGCCCAAAATTACTCAAAAGTTGTGCTTTACATTTAATAATTCCCATAATCGAATGTCACTTTTAGATGATCCTTTACAATTCATCAAAACGCTTCTGATGAAACCCATGAAAAGCAGACTTATCAAAGCTTCACTAATATGGACGTTTTTAATATATGTGTTTTCTCAAATAGTTTTTATTTTTCAAATTTTACACATCGAAGATCCTGCTTCTTTTTTCGTTCAACATTCGCCGACATTTTTTGCGAACTTCTTGGTAAGTGTAATTCAAATTGAAAATTTTGTTAACAAATCAATTGTTGTAGCAAATAGAAACCATCATTGTAGTTTTTTACAACGAAAATAAGTATGAAATGCTTCTTCAAACACTAAACAACTTTGCCCTAGAACTAGACTCAGCAGGCTTCAGGTTTAAAAAACGAATTCAGTTGGAATCGAAGTGGATCAAAATTAATTGCGTCTTATCTACGTTTGCCACTGCGCTAATGGCACTGTTTTTTCTACCCATTATCGAAAAAGCTGAAGATATGCTCTTTATTATGAAATTCTTTCAAGATTACCAACCTTCATTGTTAAAATATTTCTATTTCCCGTATTACTATACTTTTATATTTTTAATTTTTATGACAGTGTACATGGTTTTTACTTTCACGTACATCTTAAAACATTCAATTTTTCAGCTCTACGTTTTAAGCCAACATATTAGAAAGGTGCCCAAACATAAGTCAAAAAAAAACTCATTACACCTTTACTACCATGCGACTTTCCAAAAAACACTAACCAGGAGACTTATTTTTTGCATTCGTAAGCACCATGAAATTTGCTCGTAAGTACTTAATTACACGAGTTCTACGTTTCATTCGCGAAAATATTTTCGATTTTCGAAAAAAGTCTTCAAGATGTATTACGTTCCTGGTCTTTTTTACGTCGCTACTATTTTTTTGGCAATGGGAAGTATTATGTTTTTCGCAATGGCAGTAAGCGGTAAGATAGATGAATAGATGAATTTTCACATTTTTTACTTTCTTC